GCGAGTGCATTAAATATGATCTAAATGGAAATCCATGGTTTTTATTTATTTATTTTTTTATGTATTATAGTTGGATAGGATTTGTCCGGGTTTCTGTGAATAGTCAGTCCATCCGCTGGAATCAGACATCTCAATCAGCGTCGACAAATTATAGCCTAATAACATAAATATAATCAAAATGTGATGTAGAAAGAGCAGACTTACCGACAGCGATTTTGTCCATTGTCGTGGTTTGGGTGAAGTGTTCAGGCGTTGCGGTTTGTGCCGGAGGCGTTGAGGAGCGATGCTTAAGGCACTGAATCAGCAGAGCACAATGCGATCCGGCAGAGAGAGAGCACTAATAAGCACTGGGAGCGGTTCAGTGATCAGCATCTCCACACGAGAGCAGATTGGCCGTTGCCACTTTACGTAAAAAAAAGGCAGGCGTTTAAGCGAATAGCTTACACAGCTCAGAAATGATCTTACAGATGTTTTCCTGCTGTTGCCACCGACCAGTGTAAATCAGCATGCCAGGAATGGAAAGCTGGATCTATGCCCAGTTAATATTTTTGATCCCTTGGTTTTTTTAATAATAATAATTATTTAATAAGAGGGTATTTCAGATGTATCTGACAAAGATAGACAGGTTGTTTATTCATTCATTCATTCATTCATTCTTCTTCACTATAACAGCATTATCCTGGTCTATGGTCACAGAGGATCCTAAACCTAGCCCAGGACACAATACAGGGACACACCCTGAATAGGACGCAGTCCATCACAGGCCGCCATGCACACACACATTCACACATTCAGAGGCAGTTTAGTCTAGCTCAGGGTTCTTCACTCTTATCCCCAAAGGGCCGGTGTGGCTGCAGGTTTTCATTCCCACCAAGCAGGAGCCACACCTGATTCCACTGGGTTAATCAGTTCATCTTGGTCTCCAATCCACTATGAAGTGTGCCATCTGTTTTGAGTGGAATGGAAGCCTGCAGCCACAATGGTCCTTTGCAGATAAGATTGAAAACCCCTGGTCTAGCCAATTCAATTCAATTGAATTATTATTCTGGTGGGAGGAAACCAGAGAACATGAAGAAAACCCTCAGGAACCTTAGGAGAACATGAGAAACTCCACACAGAGGGTCAGAGAGCTCCACCCAAAGTCAGGATCCAGCCTGGGACCCTGGAGCTGTGTACCTACTGCGCCACTGTGCTACCCTTACTTACTCTCACTCGCTTTCAGTAACTGCTTTTCCTGGTCAGGGTTGCGATGGATCTGGAGCCTATCCCAGGAACACTGATAGCGAGGTGGGAATACACCCTGAATGGGACACCATACCATCACAGCACTGTGCTATCCATCGGTTATTTCATTTACTTATAGCAGATAGCAGATGATTCCTGGCCCACACTCATCTTTTTCCACATGCAGTAGAACACAGCCCTTATTAAGGTCCACATCACACACATGATATGCGCCAGAACAATCAGGCCCTTTTTGACCCAAGACTGAAACACGACACCTGCATTAGATGGCAAATATCACAAAAACCTTTAAAGTGGCTGCCTACGGACCCTTGGAATCAAATGCTATGTGAGATAATCGGTAAATCTCCCTCCCCTTAATTATGCTGCATCATAGAGTGAATCATCCACACATCATGATCAGAATTTTCAGTTTGCCAGTAACCAGTAACCAGGCCAACTAAAACTGGCATTATACAGAGATACACAATTACCTCCAGATTACAAAACATTTTACTGTGTAGTTTGATCTATAAATAGAAAATAAAATAAAATAGACTCTATACTGCTGTGTCATGGACATAGCAAAGCAGTGCAATGTTAAAGGATGGCTCCACTTATCACAGACAGTGCAAGAACATGATCAGAGTTACAGCTGCCCTGTACAGCACAGCACATATCCACCGCTCTCTCACACTCTCCACAGTCTGACAAAGCTCTGCAGACAAATCCGGAAATATCACTGAGCGTACTTCACACACTCGACCAAACACGACAGATATAGCAAAACAGCAACTCTATTCTATTCTATTGTATTCTATTCTACTCTGTTTTACTCTTTTCTATACTATACTAGTCTCTTCTGTTCTATTCTAAACTCTTCTATTCTATTCTAGTCTATTCTAGTCTAGTCTAGTCTCTTCTGTTTTATTCTATTCTATTCTAATCTCTTCTATTCTATTCTGTTCTATTCTGTTTTATTCTTTTCTATATTACACTAATCTCTTCTATTCTATTCTGTTCTATTCTGTTTTATTCTTTTCTATATTACACTAATCTCTTCTATTCTATTCTGTTCTATTCTGTTTTATTCTTTTCTATATTACACTAATCTCTTCTATTCTATTCTGTTCTATTCTGTTTTATTCTTTTCTATATTACACTAATCTCTTCTATTCTGTTCTGTTCTATTCTATTCTATTCTAATCTCTTCTATTCTATTCTGTTCTATTCTGTTTTATTCTTTTCTATATTACACTAATCTCTTCTATTCTATTCTATTCTAATCTCTTCTATTCTATTCTACTCTGTTTTACTCTTTTCTATACTATACTAGTCTCTTCTGTTCTATTCTAATCTCTTCTCTTCTATTCTGTTCTATTCTGTTTTATTCTATTCTATTCTATTCTATTCTATTCTATATTATACTAATCTCTTCTATTCTATTCTACTCTGTTTTATTCTTTTCTATACTATACTAGTCTCTTCTATTCTATTCTGTTCTATTCTATTCTAATCTCTTCTATTCTATCCTACTCTGTTTTACTCTTTCCTATACTATACTAGTCTCTTCTGTTCTATTCTAAACTCTTCTAGTCTATTTTATTCTATTCTCTTCTGTTTTATTCTATTCTAATTTCTTCTATTCTATTCTATTCTATTCTGTTTCATTCTTTCTGTACTATATTTATCTAAGGTTTTGTATTTAGTTGTGTTGTCTGTTGTGTTATTGTCTTGTTTATAGTCTGTGGAGAAGCGTTCAAGCAAAAATTTCATTGTATACGTCGTACTTACACATATGACAATCAGCGTTGTGACCTGTGACTTGTGTGTGACTTCTATTCTATTCTCATCTCTTCTCTTTTCTTCTAATCTGTTTTATTCTCTTCTCTTCTCTTGCATTTTGCCTTACTGTTGTCTGTTTATATTCTAAAAATATTTATAAATGTTATTCATTTCAGGTAACACAGTGGTGTAGTGGGTTTGGGGAACCTGGTTCTATCCTGAACTCTTTCCATCTGTGCAGAGTTTAGCGTCTTCTCCCTGTGTTTGCATGGGCTTTCTCTGAGTTTTCCAGTTTCCTCCCACTGTCCAAAAACATACCAACACACACTTGGCAGATTGGTTATGCTAAATTGTCCTCAGGTGTGAATATATGTGTGAATGTGTGTGGATGGTCGCCTGCGTTGGACCGACGTCCCATCCAGGGTGAATTTTCCCACCTTGTGCCCAGTATCCACTGCAACCCTGACCAGGATAAAGCAGAAGATGAATGAATGCCTCTATAATAAACTCACACAATGTGTGTTATGTGTTATTATGCCCCAGCATGGTTGAATTTGAGAATCTGGTTGGTCAGAAGGTGTGGATTAATTTTCTGTAACAACAGTAATTCAAATCAAAGGTGTGTATTAATAGCCTCCTTTCCTATACTGTTGTTTCTATAGTAACAGCTCATTCACAGGGACTTGTATGGAGGACACTCCACAGAAACTAAATCTAATAATAAAAGGATTAAAAATGTTGATTATGGTGAAGTTTTCTGTAAGGAAACGTTTAATGAACATAACATTAATGAAAGGAGTCGCTAGTGTTGACGCTTAGCAACAGTCACATCTAGCCTATAGCTGTGTACGTCATACTTGTAGTCCGTGTCCTTTGTTTTTTTTTTCCATTATGACATCATTACCCAGAATGCTACTCGGCTGACCTTCAGTGGGAGGAGACACGGGGAAATCGTAAGCATGGCTGCAGGGATACTAACCAAAGGTGAAATGTTAAATGAAACATATTTCTTACAGGATTTAGCTGTGAGACTTGAAATGGAAGCAGTGAATGAGTGTTAGAAATGGATGTATGCATATTTCTTTTAAAATGTAAAAAAAGAAAGATAGTTTGGTTTGTTTTATTCATATAGAGTCATGTTTCCTAGCTAATAACCGGCTAGCGGCTAAGTGTGCTAAATGTTTCTAAGCTAGTCAGTGAGACTCGACACACTGGCACGTGAAGGAGCGCGTGAGAAATGTATAAATATATGAATCTGTTATTCAGCAACACCTCTATTAATCCATACGAGTCATTTAGGCTAGCAGGTGCTGAGCCATGTGTGAGGTTAATATTTTCATATTCAGTGTATTGATTCAATATATTATACTGTATAATGTGTATATACAGTAGAGTGTCTATGCTACTGAAATACCCCTGCTAATCAGCCAGGTGTCACTTCCGGTATTTTAATTAGTTTGACTTGTTTGATTTATTTCTCCATATCTTCTTCTGACGTGATCTCTCCTTGTTGGTTTGGTGTCATTAGTAATCCATGGTGTGAGGAGTGTGAGGCAGGTGGGATCAGTGTTCTCCTGCAGCAGCCACACATACACCACTGCTGCCAAACCTACACCTGCTTTTCACAACCAAGATGCTGGTATGGAGCTCAATTCAAACATTTGCATGTGTATTTACATCATTTCTGCTCAGTACCATGACTAGAAATGTGATCAGTAAGGAATGCAACATGATAGGGCGTGGTGGTGAAGGAAAAATCATCAGCAGTGGGGTGGGGTGATGCATTACCACCCCAAACAGCATGTCCTGAAGTGTTTTATTCCAGTTATACCACAGCAATTTGGCAGCCATTACAGTTTTCATTATTATTGAATGACATTTACATTTATGGCATTTGGCAGACTTATCCAGAGTGACTTACGTTTATCTCATTTATAAATCTGAGCAGTTGAGGGTAAAGGGCCTTGCTCAAGGGCCAAACAGTGGCAGCTTGGCAGTGCTGGGGTTCGAACTCAAATTTTTTCCAATCACTAGGCCAATGTCTTAACCACTGAGCCACCACTGCCACACGTCATGCCTCGTAACCATTGTTGGGGCAGTGGTGGCTCAACGGTTAAGGCTCTGGGTTACTGATCAGAAGGTTGTAAGTTCAAGCCCCAGCACTGCCAAGCTACCACTGTTGGACCCTTGCACAAGGCCTTTAACCCTCTCTGCTCCAGGGGTGCTGTATCATGGCTGACCCTGCACTCTGACCCCAACTTCCTAACAAGCTGGGATATGTGAAGAAAAAGAATTTCACTGTGCTGTAATGTGTATACTCCTGGACAAAAAAAAAAAAAAAAGGTCATGGCAAAATATTAAGCTTTTAATGATCTTAACAACAAATCATTGGTCAGGAAATTAGCAAGAATTAAACAAATAGATAAAGGAAGTTATTATGGGATAGCTTTTCCCTTTGATTTCTTTAAATGTTTAAGCTTTGTGGCCCTTGATGGGCTGCATCAGGTGTGGCAGATAACTGAATAATGACTAATCTTTTAAGAAAAAAAACATCCCAGAAGATATTTTTGGAAAATTATGTACACCCAGACATGTGTTCATGTGTTAGTTTGGATTTTACATCAAACATTTTAATCATTATCATGATTTTACCTTTGCGTACAAGAAGACTATATAAGTGAATTTCCCTGTTTCTAGCTTTTCCCCAAATAGTCCACTGCAGTAAAAGTAAATGAGCAGATGGTGGCACAGGAGCTCTCAGGAGTGCATTTGTTTAGTTCCTGCTAATTTTCTGACCAATGATTTGTTGTTAGGACCATTAAAAGCTTAATATTTGCCATTTTGCTTGGCCCATTTTTTTGCCCAGGAGTGTATGTGACAAATAAAGCCTTCTTCTTCTCATTTAGTTACCTTTAATGTTGTGGAATGTTCATAAGACAAGTTAGTTTCTGTTATCATTTCCATTATAGCAGCTATAAACAAGCATTCATGGTTGAACCTCACCTACTTGTTTATTTTTTCTCTCTTGAATTTGAAATACAAAAAAAAAAAAAAAACACAGCTTATCATTGACAGAAAGATTAAAGCCCTCTGTCTTGAAGACTTTCCTGTGGTGGAAAACTCACTGACCATTACAAAGACTCTTTACATAAATGTTAAATAAACAGAAAGCTTCACCATGTCAATAATTATAAGTTATACGTAAATGTTAAATAACAACATTTTAAAATCTGTTCTACTTTATATTAGCCTAAGATTATGTGGAGCGTCTTCCATACAAATCCTTGTAAATAAATTGTATAGAATTAGTGCATTTAATACAAATCTCTGATTTGCCTTGTATTTAGCTCTACTGTCAGAGCTGCTGTTACAGAAAGTTAAAAAAGTTTAAGCTCACAAGTTGCTGGTTACACAGTTGCATGTTTTGACTCTATAGTACACAGTTTAGAAGGGAATTATTTATCATTGCACTATCCAGTGTTACCCAGATAAGGATGGGTTCCCTTTTGAGTCTGGTTCCTTTTAAGGTTTCTTCCTCATGTCGTCTCGGGGAGTTTTTCTTTGCCACCATCGCCTCTGGCTTACTCAGTAGGGATAAATTTATAAATTTAAAACTTGTATCCGGATTTTATATATTTCTGTAAAGCTGCTTTGTGACAATGCCCATTGTTAAAAGTGCTATATAAATAAAATTGCAATTGAATTAATCAACACCTTCTGACCAGTCAGAAATGTCTGTATGTAATTAGTTACACAATGCATTCCATGATATTCAGCATTTGTAACAAGGTCATAATGGACACTTCAGAATATAATTCAAGACACATTTTGGATTTGGCAGCATTTTTGAGCAGCTTTTGGTCACTCCTGAATAAAGTCAGTACCAAGCCTGTACTGAGCTGAAACACCGCATCAGAATCCGTTTGGATTTATTCTGAACCAATCCGCTGTCATAGTCTATGCCGTGAACTATGTGTAATATTGAACGACACAACACAAATGTTGCCAAGGACAAACTCTTAAATCACACTGGCCTTGCGCCTCTGTTGTTTTACATCTTTTGGCAGCAGAAGCATTCAGAGAGTGGCAGTGTGAAGACGTCAGTATCAGATAAATACTGGCTATCAGCTGACACTCAGTGCTCTGATATAAATATAGTATCAAAAATGAAACTTGTGGAATTGATGCATCCCTTCAATTTAGAAAGCAGCATAAACACAATTTTTTATGGTGCATTATTTATATCAGGCCAAACATTAAGGCAGCATATCCTTCTCAACAAACATGACAATTTTGTTTATAGGATGACATGAAGATTTAAACAAAGTGGCAAGCAGAACTCTACAGCCAACCGAGGAATATGTTCAAAAATGTACGTTAATTGCTCGTCTAAAATGTTCTTGCTCCTTAAAATGCTGCCCAACAAAGTACAGTAAATATGTATTAATACAGTAATGTTTGCTTAGGACAGTCTGAACACAGCTGAATATGTTTTTATTTATACAAGCAGTGTTTATATGTTTACCCTTGTTCGTGTTTTTTCTCACAGATGTGAATGATAAGATCATGAACTTTCCTCTGACCCAGCCGGACTTCTTCAGCGTGTCTGAGCTCTTTACTATAAAGGACCTGTTTGAGGCCCGAGTCCACCTTGGCCACAAGAAAGGCTGCAGGCACAGGTAGAGCAAAATTATTTATATTATTTTATTAGTGTAACCATTCATCAAGCCAATTAAGTTTAATAACATTCTGTACATAATTGTTCTTTACACTCGTCAGCTAACTCAGACACACACAGCCTCTCTCGTACTCTTTCTGTGTCCTGTGTTGAATTGCCCTGTCTCTTTCTGTCTCTCTCTGAAGATTGACGGAGCCCTATCTGTTTGGTACACGCCTGGACATGGACATCATTGACCTGGAGCAGACCGCATCCCACCTACAGCAGGCTCTGAACTTCACAGCACACGTGGCTTACCGCGGCGGCATCGTGCTCTTTGTAAGCCGCCGGCGCCAGTTCACACACCTGATTGAATCTACGGCGCAGCAATGCGGTGAATACGCTCATGCCCGCTACTGGCAGGGAGGTGTGCTCACCAATGCCAATGCCACTAGGGTGCGCCTTCCTGACCTCATCATCTTCCTCTGTACACAAAACAGTGTCTTCCAGACACACACTGGCGTACGCGATGCCGCCAAGGTCAACATTCCCACAGTGGGCATCATCGACTCAGACTGTGACCCAAGCCTCATTACGTATCCAGTGCCGGGCAACGATGACACTCCGGCTGCGGTGGAGCTGTACTGCCGTCTGTTCAGGATGGCTATCAACAGGGCAAAGGACAAGAGAAAGCAAATGGAGCTGCTCAAGGGGATATGAACAAAAAAAAGAGAGAGAGAGAGAGACAGTCTAGAGACACACAGAGACATGAGGATAAGTTTAAGTTCTGCACTTCCGTCTGAATTTTTTTTGTCAGCTGGTCATCACAGTTCAGAGCTTAGTGTTGATCATCTAGTTCTTGGTCCTTGTTGATATTTTTTTTCCCTCCCCTCAAACACACCACTGATAGAATCAGCTAATTATCAAACCCAACACCACCTCTGGGTGTGTCCAAGCAGGGATTCACTAAAATGTGGAGTGTATGGTATCCTCAGGATTGGGTTGAAAAACCACTGTATCCCAACTCTCACAGAGATAGAGCAAAAATGTAGACCATCTCTGAGGCACTGAGGACTGGGTTGAGAATCCCCATTATATCTCAACAAGTAGTCAAGGATACTGAAAGTCTCCAGGATTTTTTGTGTATCATGTGGAGATTTGATGTACTATTAAACATTTGGGTTCCATCACTAAGTAAAATTAACATTTCTGATTAAATCTGGGTTTTTTGTAGTTCTACACCTGAACCATTCACTAATTCACAAGTTCCCAACCTTGGTCCTGGAGAAACCTCTTGCACATTTTACTGTTTTTCCAGCTCTAACACACTCACTTCAGGTCAGGAAGGAATGTTGGTTAGTTGTATCAGTTGAATCAGGTGTGTTGGGAGCAGGGAAGACACAGGGGGTACTCCAGGTCCAGGGTTGGGAACATGTGTATTAACTCATTCATCTTCAGTAATGGCTTTATGCAGCACCTATCCTGGGAACACTGGGCACAAGGTGGGAGACCACATCTCGTGTTGGAACACCAGTCCATCGCAGGGCAACATGCACACACACACTCGCATCTAAGAGCATGTTTTTGGACAGTACGAGGAGACTGTAGAACGTAGTGGAATCACCTAAACATCAGGAAGATGATAACCTGAGCTGCCCTTCATTTGAACCAATAATATAGAAATCGAGCTTGACAGTTTTGTACAACTGTATGAAAGAGTAACATCATCTACTGTTTACACTCAAGGCTGTATCAGTAACATCCATAATTTCAGCAGCTGAGAGTGAGATCTGTATCCAGTATGAAGCTCTGAGCAGTTTTAAGATTTCAATCAGATAAAGATTTCAGTCAGATCCAGCAGGGGTCACCAGTAGACCTAGTGAACCATTTTAAACATCTCATCATGCATATTTGCAGAATGAATATGACTTCATTACTGGACATGACGTATGCCCCTCATAAAGCAGCGACAAAGACAACAAACCCAAGCATCAGACATGAAGAGAAAAAATACGCATCCATGTGCACTTTTCAGAGAACAACAACAATAGTTCGAGTCAGCGCACTGAAAAGAAGTAAAAGTGTTGGTATGGATGTTTGGGGCCAAGCGTGGGGAACGTGTTTGAGGCACATAGTGTGTTATTCCAGCTGGGCTGTGCGATATTTGATGTTTTACATTTCAGTACACATATGCTACTCATGAAACAACAACTCAGTTTAATCTTTATATAATAGTTCTGCATTTTATTATATAAATTTTTTCAAATAACAGACAGCATCAAGCACAGAGCATGTGTCATAAAATCTTAAAATATTCAAATATATTCAAGTGCTTGTATAATCAGTATACAGGTGTGGCTACTAGCAAAGGCAATTCTGTATAATTCATATAAAATCATACTGATATCG